GTGTAAATAAAATGGCTCCGTCCGTGTCATATTTTTAAACATTTAGTTTAAAAATTATAAACTGAACACCCAACAGTATTTTTACAGTCTTTATTTTACAGTTAAAGTATATGTTTATCATATAAAGTCCAATGTTACAATTAATCGGGGATCCCTTTAATCTAAATTTGAAACTTCTGTTTGCGGAGCTGCTCCTCAGTTAGAAAGAACACCCTATTTCTAAGCATTTTTACATTGTGTATCTCTTCAGTTTGTTGTGTCATGTAACCTCCCGTCTTGTGTCTCCTCTACTGTCCAGACCACCTCCAACAACATCCAGGATATCATAGAGAGCTGCACAGAAAAAAAAGGAACAAAGGCCTGGTCATGCCAGCCGGCGGGAAGCAGATGGTGTGTTTCCTGGACGACCTCAACATGCCGGCCCAGGACCTGTTCGGGTCCCAGCCGCCACTAGAGCTGCCACGCTTCTGGATCGACTATGGCTTTTGGTACGACCGCCAGAAACAGACCCTAAAGTTTGTCAAGGTGAGGTATGATATTTTGATGAAAGTAGGAAAGAGTTCTGTTTGTTAGATGCTTCATGTTACTTAATTTGTTTTTGTCTTCCTTAGATGATTTTAGACATTATTTTTGCTACTTCTACTTCGTAGCTGGTCTTTTGCTACATTTAGCTTTTAGTTAGCCATCTGCTACTTTTCCTATTCAGCTGGTGTTTTGAAGCTTTAAGTGTGAGTTTCTGACTGAGGATTGAACTTTCTGTGACTCTTTATAATCAGGTCATGTTCTTGGTGGGGTCCATGGGCCCCCCTGGTGGAGGAAGGACTCGGATCTCACCCCTGCTTTCAAAGTGGGTTCAACCTCATCAATATGACCTTTCCTCATGTAAGTCTCACCTCTTCATTTCTTTTTTTTCTCCCTGAATATAAAAAACAAGCTGGTGTTTTTCACTGTTCTGTGCAAAACATGAACTGTTGAACTTCTCACATGTTGGATGTTTTAGCTCCATTTTTTTTAAAATCCATTTTCATGTTTTAATCATTTCATCACAAAGGAATTGATTTTTATTATAGTTACGCTGTTTTTTAAACACAATGAAGACAAACAATATAATAACTGTGCAGCATTTCAAAACAAAGAAACAAAACGGAAACAAAAGAAGAGAAAAGAGAAATATAAATAAATAAACTGAGCTTCAAAAATAGAACAAAAGGTCACTGGTCTTAATATTAGTGGAATTATGAGTGATTTGAGGATTGGTAATTAGCAGATATAGGCTATTGTACACAAAATTTCATGAATAAATAAGAAAAGTAAATAAATACAAATGAAATAAGTGAAAAGAAATAAATCAGCTGGGTGAAAGGGCAAGAAAATAAAAAGACATATATAAATCAAAAACAAGGAGAATCAAAAAAGTTCAAAAGAATCAATTAAATGCTAAACGTAAAAAAAGAGTAATGATGTATTTAAGGGTAAATAAATAAAAAATAAATAATGAGAGAAATTAAATCAGCTTTATGAAGGGGCAAGTAAATAAATAGACATGTATAAATAAAAAAACAAGAAGAATCCAAGTTAGTTAGTTACGCTGTTTAAAAATCTGTACAGTTTTTGATTTCCCAGCACAAAAATACACAGAGAGAATGATAGAGTGAGAATATTACCACCTAGTTTGTTTGAGTTATTCTAGTTTCATTCTCCTTTTAGTCATCACAAATTTGTTTAGGAAAATAGACACTCAAAACTTAAAAAAAAAAAGTTTTTCTCAAATAGTCTTTTCCTTTCTCTTGACCGCTGTGTATTATTTTGACACCCATGGTTGCAGGGTTCTTGAGATATTTAAAAACTGATAATCAAATGTCTCATTTCACATGCAGGAGTCACAAATCACAAGCATCCACAGCACTATGATCAAGCAGAAGCTGCAGGCGTGTGTGGAACCGGTGAAGCGTACCGGAGAGATTGTGACTCAGGCCACTTTAGAGCTGTATAATGGCGTCTTGGCATCTTTTCTTCCCACTCCAGCCAAGATACACTACGTCTTCAACCTCAGAGATATCTCTAAGGTACACCTCATCCTCGCTGTTCGCAAACTGCTCGACCTGAGCCGCTCCTCTGATGCGCTCATTTCTAACGGTTGGCCGCAAGTGCTTACCATGAACTGATCCTTCTTTACTCCTCCCAGCTGCACGGTTCTTCTTCTGTCTCACTGTTTTCTCCCACCTTTCACCAGAGCATACCTCCACCTCGTCAAGCTCTCTTCCACCTGCTGTCACTACAAATCACATCTGCAAACATCAAAGTTCACTGGGACTCCAAAGAGATTTCCTATGAACTATGTTAGAAATTATAGCATTTTAATAAAAAAAAACTGATCACGAATAAAGATCTTAACATAAGTTTTCTGCGTTTGTTCATATTTTTTTAGGTTTTCCAGGGAATGCTAAAAGCTCATCCAGGGATTCATGTAACCCAAAACAGCATCACCAGACTGTGGATCCATGAGTGTTTTAGGTACTTTTTATGACATTCATAGTATCCTAGCTAATGCTTTTGATGTAGACATATTTTAATTTATAATTTTGTTTTTTCATCATGTGATATGTTGTGGTTTGTTGTTTTCAGAGTGTTTTCAGATCGGCTTGTGAACCAAAGTGACATGAACCCTTTTGTAGCTCTTCTGAAGAAAAAGCTGTCCTCACAGTTCAGCCTGAATTTCTACAGCATCTGTCCCAACAGACAGCCGCTAATATTTGGTATCTACAATACTGTATTGACAAATTCATGCCAGCACAGATGTGACTATGTTCAGTGGTAGCTTAAAATATTTTCACAGATACGACCGATCAGGAAGGTATGAGCTTTAAGTGTGTTTATTTCTGCCTTTGTGGATCAGGTGATTTCTTAAGCGACTCTTCGGGCTATGAGGACATTCTGAACATGAAGGGTCTGAAGAAGTTCATGGAGACGAAGCTGGAAGACTATAACCTGACGCCTGGAGTGGTTCCCATGAGCCTCGTGCTCTTTCAAGACGCCATCAAACACAGTACACTCGAGAATACCATCATTTCCTGCTTACTCCGATTTTAACCCAAACTGAACGACAAAATTTGATTACAGCTCGCTGTTCATGACGGCAGGCAATAATATCTGATGAATCAGTGGACAGATTTTAATAAAAGAATCAGTTTGTGCAGCTAATCCACACTACTAATGAAAAATTATTGATCTAACTGAGCTAAAATTTGATGTAACCAAAGCTGAGATTCAGCTCCAACATGAAAAAATATTTTATCCATATTTAAATTGTGCCTGTTTTAGTTATCTTACAACAATTTGTCAATTTTTTTGTTCCTTTCTTGTTTATTTTTTATTTTTTTGCTAATTTCAAAGACTTTACATTCCTTTCACAATCTGTCTGCTGATTTCAAATAGTTTCTGCTAATTTTAGCTGCCTTTTGCTAATTTTAACTACTTTTGTGTGCATGTTTCAGCTGCTTTTCTACTAATTGCATCTGTTTTGTGCCAAATTAATTTTTTTTCAGCTTAACTGAATCAGATTTAGACAAAATGACTAAACTCACGGTGGGGTAGCTGAAAGCTATTCTCACCACATGCTGAAGGCTAATTAGCATGTCGAGATGGCTAACAAAGCTAATACAAATCATTCGATGGTGTGCACTTTTTCTCTGATCTGTAACTCTGCAACTGAGTAACGTAGAAAAATCATGCTTCACAGCTACACAAGTTGTGGGTCAACAGTGATTCTAAGTGATTTTAGGGTCAAGACTTGACTTTTAATATGCATTCATTTGAGGACTTTTAGTAAACATCCAACTAATAATGCCTGAATTCATTTATTTATATGTCTGCTGAAGCTTTGCAAACTCACTATCAGAACAGTAATGAAAGTCGGTGTATCTGAAATTTTCATCCATAAGAACCAAGTGAGTAAGGGTTTTTTATGAAGAGTTTACAATATCTGTTGTGTTCTTGCCCCAGTAACCCGTGTTGTGCGTGTGACCAGTCAGCCCCGAGGCAACATGCTTCTCATCGGTATCGGGGGCTCGGGGAGACAGAGTTTGTCCAAGATGGCCGCCTACATCTATGAATACCAGGTGTTCCAGGTGGAAGTGACCAAACAGTACCGCAAACAGGAGTTCAGAGCTTTATATCATGTTATAATGTCATTCCCTCATCACAAACATATCCAGAGTGTTGATTTGACTCATTCATGCATGTTTGAGAAGTCCTTGAATCTCCTGTGGCCATGTGGAGCTGCCTAAACACTTCCTGGTACAAAGCACCGCCTGTTTGTACAAAGCTCCTCCCTGGAGCTCAGTCTGCAGCCGAGCTCCCTCCCCACAGAGCACCTCTCCCAATGAGGTATATTTAGAGGGGCTATCACGTGACTTTGGGTATGCTAAACGCAAATCCATCTTGACACAGTCATTCAACCATTGAACACAGACCCACAATGCTGTGTCACTGTGCAGCAATCGGAGTGGCAAATGTTCAGACCTCATAACATTTTATCGGTACGTTTTTTTAAAAATTATTTTAAATAAGAAGGCTATGTTTAGCATTGTGTTTATGTTCAGAATTAGTACTGACAAAAAATGGATCAAAATCAGTTGTGAACTACATGAAATCTCCCACTGCTGGAGGGTGAAATTAAACTTTTTGTTTGTGTTTTTGTATTTCTGTTGAGTCGAGGTCTGCCATTATAATAAAGACAGAAGTGTTAATTTGCACTCCTGATTGCTTACTTAAGTTTTGTGACAGTATGTAATATTTATACAACAGACACATTGGTATTTATCTAAACTTATTAAGCAAAAGAAAAAAGAAAGAAAATACCCTGACATTTGCTTTGTGGATTGCTTACTAAAGCTCTGTAACAGTAAATACATTTATTTTTCACATGAAGTAATATTTTTATCTATCTAAATTTATTCCAGTATTAACCGCACACCGATCGTGTCCACATTCCCACAGAATGTAAATAACAACTAGACATGGGTTTTTACGATGCAAAAACAAGTGTGCATTGCCATGTAGCATGTCATTGCAGCATGGCTTTGCCTGCAACATTGGACTTGCAGAATGAAGTGTGACCAAGTTGAAATGTGTTTTCTAATTATTATCAGTCAAACACCTACCAAGTCAGCAGGTGTTTGTAATTAGGGTAATTGTGTGACAATACAGTATAACAAACTGAAATTATGAAGTTTTACTGAAACAGTATGTTCATAGCTGGGATTGGACCCTGATCTGAATGAAATCCCACAGTGTTCACCATGACACTATAGGAGCTGTGGCAGAGGACAATCCCAGGGCTTGGATTGTGTGCATGCAGAAAGAGTTTACCTTGCCAATACAATTATTGACACTAAACTGCATAATATTACAAAAATAGAGCAGTATTAAGACAATATTATAGTAAACCATCAAAATACAATCATATTAGTATTGTAAACACTGAACTACTGAGTTGAAATACGAAACTATGGTGCAGTACCAAATTGTGTAGATGCAGCAGGGGGCAGTATTGGACCAATAAAAGGCTCCATTGACTGCTATTATAATTCATTAAACATTAATATTTCATAAACTATAAGTTTTGCAGGCACCATAAGGCATAGCCAGCATTTGGCACAGGAGCTTTACAGATATAAACTACAATGGCAGCTCTAGGTCAAAGTATGCAGGAGGAGAAGCATGGCAAAGTTGAGATGACTTGGATGGGAAACGAATCACAATAGTGTGCATTGCATTGGCAATGAACACTGATAAATTGAAGAAACTATTTTACAGACATGCTTTCAGGTCACTGCTATTTTTGTGCACTGTGAATTTCAAAAAACAAGCTGAACTGATAAATAAAGATTTATGTTTACAGGTACTTGAGTGTGTTTGGCTTCATTGTCAACATGGAGAGTTTGTTCAGATTGGTACCAGAAGTTCTAACCAACCAAAGTTTCTTGTTACAAGTTGAGCCAAGATCACTTGAGCTGTTCTTCAGTGCAGTACACAAAGCAGGTAAGTTATAATTTGCTTTCAATTTCAAGTGTACTTATGATTTGTGAAACATAGTTAACAGACCTAGTGATATTTAGGATGTGTGATTATGCAGGTAGATTTAACAAGAACCCAAGCTGTCGTCAGTTCATGGCAATCTTCCGTAAGATGATTGTGCACAGCAGGGTATCACCATCTTCAGCTGGAAATGTCTGATCAAGGCTGCTCTCTGCTCAATACAAACACAACCAGGGCCAGTTTGCATGTTCTCTGCTGAAGTCAGAACAAAAACATGTGTGTGTTAGGTTACTCTAAATAATCCTAGTTGTGGGTCTGAGTATGGATTGTTGTTAGTCTCATAAGTCTTATGGAATTGTGAACTGTACAAATTATTAGTTTAAACCTTTGATGTGTATACTATTTTCCAATATACTGTATGCAAATATATGTTCATTCACTCATTCAAAAATACTTTATTGATCCCAGAGGGAAATAAGGAAATAAGAAGTTTAGGAAAGTAGAAATTTACAAGTAAATTGGAAACCAGATGTGTAGCAGCCCTGATCATTTTCAAAACCTGTCCATAGGAGTCTTTTAAAAACAAGGAAAAAACAAGAAAGGAAAATAAAATATATTATATATAACATGAGGTGATCATGAGGTAGTATTAGAAATGTAGAGATACTGCATGGTGCACTTTTTATTTTAACTTTATTTTTCCTTGTAGGTTCTTGATGTTTGTTTCTCTTTTCTTTGCTTAAATGATGGTATGTAGTAAACAATTTTACGTTTGTTTCATGTTGTGTGTGCCTGTCTGCTGGGCCAGGCTGCTGAATGAGGCGAGCGGCTCGTTACTGGACGATGAGCAGCTGGGGGACACCTTGCAGACCTCCAAAGATACGGCCAAGCAAGTTTCTGAGCAAGTGGTGAGCAGCGAGCGGACCGAGAAGAACATCGACTCTGCAAGAGAGGTCAGGAGTGGGAATGAGGCGAAAAGAGCCGAGGAGATTATTTCTCTCATTTTGAGCATGTAACCTGAAATGTCACACCCTGGCTATCCATGCTGTTTCCTCGGACACCTCGAAATCTGAAATGGTTCATGAGCTTGGCACGCTAAGAGAAGTTGAGGCCCCGTGCCAACTTTAATTAAAGCTCATTTATTATTTGTATGCTTCATTGTTATGGAGATTTTACCCATCATTTCCTCATTCAGAGTTGAGAAAAATAGCCTTAGATTTGAGAGTCACAGCACTCTGTCCCTCTGACAGGCCTATCGTCCGTGTGCCCAGAGAACCTCCATTCTCTTCTTCATTCTAAGCAACCTGAACCTGATCGACCCCATGTACCAGTTCTCTCTGGATGCCTACATAAATCTGTTCATCCTCAGCATAGAAAAGAGCAAACGCAGTGAAACCCTGAAGGAATGGATCAAAAACCTCAACGACTGCCCCATGTACGCCGTGTACAGGTCAGCACGGTTCATCCTAATTAATCTGTTTGAATGGGCTCGAACTGTTTCTGATCTGTTTATATCTCTTTATAAAGTATAAACTTTATCTAATAGTGCAGTTTCTGTTGCTATTTCTCTGTCTGCTGCAGCTACACATGTCGGGGTCTGTTTGAGTCTCACAAGCTTCTCTTCAGCTTCCAGATGTGCGTCAAAGTCCTGGAGGTGACTGGAGAACTCGACGAGAACGAGTACGCCGTCTTACTTCGAGGAGGAACGGTGAGAAACTAAAGCCAATACCAATCCAGAGAGTTCCTACCTTCCAACACAACTACTTCTGTTGGACCGATCACGGTTCCTTTTTAAGGTTCTCGATAAAAACGACCGACCGGAGAACCCGTGTGCCAGCTGGCTGTCAGACTCCAGCTGGGTCAGCATCACACAGCTGGAGAAGCTGAAGAGCTTCGGCGGCATCGTGCCGTCCTTCGAACGTCGAGCTAGAAACTGGAAGCTGTGGTTTACTAAAGCTGAGCTGAAGAACGCCAAACTGCCAGGTCTGTATGTTTCAGAAGAGCTGAGAACAAAAAAATAATCAAACAAACATTAAAACTGGAGTTAAATGTGTTACAAACAACCCTAAAGTCAATTGGTTGTAGTTTTATTTTTTTATTGAACTATTGTTTTTACATTTAAGCTGATGTTTTGTTTTTCGTGAAGTTTTTGGGGAGAAAAAGCTCACCGAGCTCCAGAAGATGCTGATAGTGCGTTCTTTACATCCCTCCTTCATAGGCTACGTTCACACCGCAGGTCTTAATGCTCAGTTCCGATTTTTTGAAAAAATCCGATCTTTTTGTGTGAACGTTCACATTACATTTTAAATGTGACCTGCATCAGACCCCTGTGTGAACGCTACACAGCACTGATGTGACACGCATGCGCAGTAAAAGACGTGACGTCTCATCAGCCGGCTTGTTTGTTTACAGAGCTAGCATGGATGCTACATTTTGCACATCGAATCGGAAGTTGTTGTTTAATCAGAGCCGATTAAATAATTATCTGACCTGCTTCTTTAGTTCAGTGTTTATATCTGAACCTGCCTCTGACCGGGATGCTCCAGTGAAGATTTTTTTTTCTTAACGAAACTACAAGCTGGAAAAAAGTATCGACCGAGTAGCTAACTTTAGGATCAATACTCTCTGCGACCCAGGCTGGACATCGTTATTATCATACTATCTACATGGAAAATGAAAAGTCAAAAGATGAAGCAACTGGACTTGTGATTTGGAGCTGTAAACACACGGAGCTACAGATTTAAACAGCGAGACTTGAGGTTAGTGTCTTATCGATCCTTCACCCCCTCCTCGTGATGAAAAAGTCAGATGAATGTGACATGAGCGTTCACACTGCAGTCACTTTGAAAACATCAGATATGTATCCGATTTAAAATCGCATACCTGGGCTGCCGCTTCGTGGAGCCTCCCGTCCTCGACATGAAGGCGGTGAGTTTTAGATGTCACTCGCTCAACTCTGGAATCATTAACGGTCTCCAAACAGCATTATCCTTTTTTTTTGTGTATGTGTTTTTATCATAACAGGCCTACTTCTAGCGCTGGTTTTATGTTTCAGTGACACAAATCCTGACATATTTTCAGCGTTGATGTCGGTGTTCCCTGCAGGTCGTGGAGGAGTCCGCCAGCTGCCTTCCTCTGATCTTCGTTCTGTCCCCTGGAGTGGACCCCACGGCAGCCCTGCTGCAGCTGGCCGAGGCTTCCGGCAGGAGCAGAGACGTCCACTCTCTCTCTCTGGGCCAGGGTCAGGCGCCCATCACCGAGCGAGTGATAGAGGAGGGAGTCAAGAAATGTGCGGGACAAGTCGCCGTCTTCCTTTGTGTAATCGCTGAGTCACTAGGGGGGATAGAAAGACATACAACTCCTCATGTCATAAAAAACATAAGTTCCAAACCTTTCATTGTCCAGGTTACTGGGTGTTCCTTGCCAACTGCCACCTCTCTCTCTCTGGATGCCTGAGCTGGGTAAGCTCATTAAGCAGCTCCAGAAGCCCCGTCCAGACTTCAGACTCTGGCTCAGCTCGTCTCCACACCCAGAGTTCCCCATCACCATCTTGCAGGCTGGCATCAAGATGACCACTGAACCACCGAAGGTGAACAACTCAGGAAATCGAATATACTTTTTTTTTTTGCTTTGCTTGACACCAAACATGTGCCGCATCATCAGATTTGTTTTTGTGCCTCGTTTTTAATCCCGCTGCCCAAATTTTTCTGTCTCCAGGGAGTGAAAGCCAACATGAAGCCTCTGCATCAGCTGGTGACCGAAGCCCAGTTCAGCCGCTGCTTGAGAGCCGAGCCCTACAGGAAGCTGCTCTTCTCCCTCTGCTGCTTCCACAGCGTCCTGCTGGAGCGGAACAAGTTTCATCAGACGGGCTGGAACATCGTCTACGACTTCAAAGATTCAGAATTCGAGGTCAGAGTTCGACGTGCTTATCCTTCAGATACAAAAAGGCAAAGAAAACTTTGTTCTATTTAAGAATCTTGGCATACCACACATTATTTTACCCATTTGGACTCATAACTAGCCTATTTTCTTTTTAACTTGGCTCGGCAAAAGGGTCACAGGAAGTGACATCAAAGGGGAACTCCTTTAGTAAAAAGAACTCTGGTCTTTGTTTATTGAAACATCATGATTTGAACTCTGACTCTTTTTTCATTTGTTTCTCTCTGATAGTGACTCAAAATAATCTAAAACAGATTCCTCTCCACAGTCTGGGCTGTTGAGCATTTTAGCTTAGCTCTGTTTTCATGCAGACATTGCCCTTTGACATCACTTCCTGTTCCTTCACATGCAAACATCTCAACAACTGTTCATCTCAGCAGCATGAAAATTATTTTGTAATACGTTCTCAGTGTTATCTTTCCAAAAATGCATTTGTATGTATACAAATCTTATATCTCTCTTACTGTATATATAATACAAATGCATTTTTGGAAAGATACAAATTACAAAAGTGTTGATATCACAGGCACTTTAACACTTTCCCTTTCAGTCAAACCAGCATTTAGTTATTAATTTTTGTAGTGACAACATGGAGTCATGATCTCTGTGTGGGGTTAAAATCATGTTTTCTATGAGTTGTTTCTATTTATTCTTGTTAAAAATGATAAACAAAAATAAATCTGCGTTGCGTTCTTTCCTCCCCTCCCTCCCTTTGATGTTTCTGTCTCTGTGCAGTAGAAATATTTTACCTCTTCTCTTTAAAGTAAAGATCTCATTCTCGATGCCTCCTCAGGTGAGCGAGAAGCTGCTCTGCCTCTACCTGGATAAGTATGAGGAGATTCACTGGGACGCTCTCAAATACCTCATCGCCGACATCATCTATGGTGGTCACGTCACAGACGACTTCTGACCACCTACATCAACGACTTCTTCTGTGAGGCTGCTGTAACTGAGCCACACTTCAAGTAAGACACAGACACCCGCATATTTACCTGCTCAGTTTATTTGATGTTCAGATATGCTCTTTAAATTGAAATACATTTTGCCGATAATTAGGTTGTTGTATAAGAAAATATGGTGAAGCAGCACATCAGTATTAAATAAAAAGTGATGCCATTCTCTGCTGTGAGCAGAGCGCTAGCACCACCAAGAGGACAAACTGAATATTACACCAACAGAAGCAGAACCTGATCACTAAAACCTGAGATCTGTGTTGTTCCTGTTTTCTCACTCCTCTCTCTCAAAAAAATAAAAAAATTAAATAAATAAATAAACAAAATAAAATACTAAATAGATTTTTAGCCCTGAAATTATTCCGTAAATATAACTCAAAAGATGGATTTTGTCAGCTCTGCTGAAGTTAATGCATTAGTACACGAACGCTCATCATTTATTTATTTAATGCTTCTAATCACCCTCTCATCTTAGGTTGTCAGTTTTACCCACCTATCATATATCCAGCGACGGCTCCCACTCAGAACACCAGGAATATATCAGCCTTCTGCCGTCCACCGAGCACCCAGAGGTGTTCGGCCAGCACCCGAACGCCGACATTGTGAGCCAGATCACCGAGACCAGGACGCAGTTCGACACCCTGCTTGCCCCTGCAGCAGCAGGTCACCAGCACCTCCACGGCCGGGTCCAGGCCCAGCAGAGAGGACACGTGAGGAGGAGAGGAAACACGTGATAAATTTCAACATTTTACCAGAAATAATGGGAACTTATTTATTTATTTATTTATTTATTTATTTATTTATTTATTTATTTATTTACCATTATTTTACCAGGCAAGTCCCATTGAGATCTCAGATCTCTTTTTCAAGGGTGGCCTGGGCCTGAAGGTAACCTATTGTACAAGTTTTGGGGGGGTGGGGGAAACCGGAGTACCTGGAGAAAACCCACGCAAGCACGAGGGGAACATGCAAACAAAATCTTTAACTTGTTAGTTTAATCTTTTATGTAATAAATACAAATACAGTGACTTTATTAAACCTAGAAAAGTATTTTTTTAGTATGAGAGTATATTTTTCTTGAGATGTCTTTTCAGAGGAGTTAAAGTGCCTGTGACATGCATATCCATGAAATACAAAAAGTCAAAGAAAATATATTTATATTTAAGAAACTTGGCATAATACACATGATTTGACCTGTTATGTCACATAATTGACATATTTTCTTTTGAATTTTGCTCAGCTAAAGTGAAACAGGAAGTGACATCAAAGGGAAACTCTTTGAGAAAGAAAACTTCCTGGTTTTTGTTTATTGAAGCATTATTATTTGAACTCTTGACTCTTTCTCCTCTCTCTATGATAGTGATTAAAATATTCTAAAGAAACATCAGATTCTTCTCTACAGACTGGGTTGTTAGCATTTTAGCAACACTCTGTTTATATTCAGATATTCCCCTTTGACATCACTTCCTGTTACTTCACATGAGAATATCTCAACAACTGTTCATCTCAGCGGCATGAAATCTTTTTTACAATGTGCTATCAATGTTATCTTTCCAACAAAACATTCATATTTATTATAAAAATTTGATGTCACAGGCACTTTAAGCTTTTTATTTTTCAGCTAGACAATACCTGTGTGTGTGTGCAATTCTCTAAAAAGAGTCAGCAAATTTAAAGATGATATTTGATGCAAAATTCACTTTTTTGCTGCTAAATACTTTTTATTGTGTACTTGGAGTCCCTAGGAGTGGAAAAAAGTTGAATTTAGTCTGCCCTGGTGCTGTTTGGGTCATATTTTTCAACCCGTTCAGTTTTTTCTATTTTCTGTGGCATTTTCTGAACTATTAGGTCAAATTATTTGTGGACAGACATTTAAGGTCTGGACTTACCAGCTATAATTTGGTGGTCTTGGGGTCAGACTCTGGGTCCAACATGTAAGGCTGGATGGAAAAGTCTTCTGTTGTTGATTTCTTTTAATAAATAGTAGATAAAAAGTTTCTGCGCAGCTACATAGCCGTAAACCCCTCTATTGAACTAGAATGAACCGGTCTGGGGGCTGGAGGGGTGGCGGGGTGTGAAGGTGTGAAGCAACTCGTTTGGATTTAAAGAGACAGCCTCAAAACAAGTTGATCTGAGTGACGCCTCAGAAAAGGGGCGGGGCTTGTGAAGCTACAAAAAGGAGGAATTCTGTCCAAAGCATTTCAGCTTCACTTTATAAAGACTTATAAAGGATTTAAATGTGAAAAATAAGGATTTAAGAGCACATGTCTCCTTTAAAACAAGCTTCAGGATTAAATGATGAAGTATCATTTGAGAATGAGAAATAATGGAACGTACACACCCCTTTATGGTGCCCTGCATTAATGCTGTGCCAAAATGACTGCTTCACTGTTTAACTTGTGGTTTTTATACCACAACAGTAACATGTTTTACTTTTCAGTCAGAACAGTTTGAGTCAAACTCTGTGATCTGTGAGTAAAAACCTTATGGATTAGTTTTGTGACTGAAACAATTGTTTGAACACGAGCCACATGTAGTTATATCTGCGCAGTAAGTTCTAGCTTTTTTTTTCTTTTTTCTTTTTTTAATGGAGGCTGATGTGGTTTAATCACAAACTCCAAACTTGCTGCTTTTTATTTCCAAACCTCTGAGTGAAACTCGATAAAAAATGATTACAGTTCGTGTGTCTTTTTTTTTCCCCCTAAACTGTCCCGTCTCTCCGTTTTTGTGGCGGGCCCAATTAATAGTTAGCTGAAGCTTCACGAAGCCAGTCATTTCTGACCTTTTCTTCCCAGCAGTGCTGAGACATCTACAGTATATAGTTACATAACTCTGGCTGAGAGTCATCAGCGTAATAAGATACAGATCTAGGAATCTGGGCTTTAGGGAGGACTCTGCTGTAAAATATTAGGCCAGGCCTCAGAGGACACTTTTCAGGCTCAAATTGAGTTTCCCTCCAGATCAGCTCTGTTTATTTTTAAACCAACAGAAACAATTGTTCCCGAGTGTAACAACTAATGAAAGCACACACAGTTTTGTATAGTTTGACGTAAAGATAACTTTTCATCTGTTCTCTGGTTCATGGTGTGTTTTTAGATCATGTCGATGTTTGTTAAGAGACGTCAGAGGGAAAATCCCAGCGCCGATCGACTGCGAGAAAACCAGGACCCCTCCTCACCTCTCAACGTGGTCTTGCTGCAGGAGATCCAGAGATACAACTCTGTCCTGGAGACTATTGTGTACGAGCTGCTTCCTTTTGTGTTTGTTAACGGGACGGATGACGTTTGGGTCAAAGGAAAAGTTAGACGCAGGAGAAACACATCAAAGTCAACAACAATTAGCAGATTTGCAGCAGAAACGGTCCGATTTCTCACGTATGAATAGTTTGCATTTCAGGTTGATAAAATAAAACAACTGTTGTTTTTAGATGTCGATCGATAGAAAGGAAATCAAGTATTTTTTTATATGATTTATTTTTATCTTACGCAAACATCATAAATCTAAATATTCCAGCATCTTTACATGAAATTTACATTTTTTGTGAAAAACATTTTATACATATACAGGGTTTTCTCCACTCACATTTGTACAATTAATCTGAATTCATGAGTTTTATTCAACAAACAGAACCAGAACTGTTAAATATGTGCTTGTTTTATGAAAAATGACCCAAACATTGATTTTTTTTCTTCCTGTTTTAGATCCGTAGCCTTGTTTAAAACAAATCTGAAGCTTGTTGAAGACTTTAAAAGTCACCTGAAGGAAGTTAAAGGACGACTTCACTTTAGGATGAAACAAACCTGTTGCTGTTTGTGTTTCAGCTCATAAAGAGGAGCTGGAGAACAGCATTAAAGGCTTCGTGGTGATGGAGGAGACCTTTAACTGCATCCACGACGCTCACGTGCCTCCACTGTGGGGGAAGGTGGTAACACACCAGCTTATATGTGATAAACTGGTTCTGTTAGCCCTGTTTGTCAGATCAAAGCTATTTGTAGCATTTTTATCAACCCCCAAAAGACAACAGTGGACAAAGTTTTTGTCTGCACGTGTTTGTTAGTAAAATATCTCATCAGCTACTGGATGAACTTTCATGAAAATCTAATCTAAATAATCTTTGGATGTATGGAGGACCGAAACTGACTAATTAAAAATAAAAGCAGAAATATATAAATGGACCAATAAATAAATATATACACTTAAAATGCACCAATTACATTAAAAAAGGAGAACTTGTAACTCGTGATTTATTTTTCCAGTTTATTTATTTACCTAGCCTGGCCCTTGCCTTCCTACGCAGCTCCGCTCAATTCTAGTTTCCCTTTTCTGCTCCGTCTGGGACTTCTCCCATTGAGATGGATTTCACTGGCAGATTTTTAGCCGGGCCAATCAGAGAAGAGAACGTCGACTTTCTGCGCACTGTCTGCTTGCAGTTTATTTTACCTGGGCCAATCAGCAAACAGAAGGAGGAGCTTTGATCTACGTTGATTTTCTGCACAGTGTCTGCTAGTTAGTTTAGCATACAGCAGTGGAGGAAGTGAATGAAGCCAGTCTGTGTTGATAAGGCTTCCAAATTAAAATTAATTTGTCTGACAAAGCAGCAGCTCTCATTTACAGTCGTCTCGTTAGGCTCAGCATATTTCTCCCCTCAGTAGGGTTGTTTACAGCACACACGATTTCCAGTTAGCTTCTTAGCTTAGCCTCCGTCACAGCGACACACACACGCTTCAGCAGAGGCCACGCCTCCTGCAGGAATCACTTCTTTATACAGTAAGTCCAGACCCTTGTACAAAGCAAAGTGAAGGACAGGGTCTGGTTTTTACCAGGCAATTATTTACCTGGTATTTCTTATTATTATTGGTCTATTTATATATTTCTGCCTTTATTTCTAATTATATCAGTTTCGATCCTCCATATGGATGAACATCTACAACTGACTGACTCAACCTGATTCAAATCAGCTGCCAAAAAGTACGCAGCCGACAAAAAACTAGAACACTGTAAAAATCAGTACAGTGAAACTAGACACACACACACACACACACACACACACACACACACACACACACACACACACAC